ACCCCCCCCCCCCCCCCCCCCCCACCGTTTTTCTTTTTTTTTTTTTTTTTTTTTTTGGGGCATGTTTTTTTTATTTTTTTAAAAAGGGAGGCGTGTTCCCCGCGGATTTCGGGGGGTATTGCACGTCGCAGTGCCCGGTGTTGTTGGAGGGGGACCCTGTCCCCAACCACGAGGAATTCATGTCCAATTTTTTCGCCCAGCCGGACGTTTTGGCTTACGCCAAGACGGCCGAGGAGCTCGAGAAGGAAGGGGTGCCGGAGTGGTTTCGCCCGCACAAGGTGCGGGGTCCGTGGAGTTGCGAGGAGTGGGGGTGGGGGGGGGGGGGGTGTACTCATGTCTTGCATGCCGTACCAGTCGTTAGGCTATGGACCTCGCATCGTCCCTACATTTCCGGGACGGAGCTATGTGCCGGGTTTCGCTGGCCCAGGCTATCACACCACAAGGATGAGCCGGTAGTGGGGGGTGTACGATACCGTAGTTGGAAGACCATTGCTCTGGGTACGCCGACCGCGTGAGGGGTGGTGATTGATGCCACTGCCACTGTTTTGATAATCGCATGCTGTACCTGCGGAGAAACGGCGGTTTGCCGATGACAATGATGATGGGGGTTGATTTGAGCACGGAGAATGGAAAAGGCAAAGAACATGGAATGTTTGTGTTTGCCAGTGGCGAAAGAAACGGTAGATCGGGGGAAAGTCAGGGACAACGCTCGCCTGCGACGGTGTTGCTTTGTTGGCGGCTTGAGGTTTTCGGGGTGGTAGTGGTCGATAGAGGGCGGGTTTTGTTTTTCTTGAGTACTAGACGAAATAATCTGTTGTTCATTGAGAAACCTTGGAGCGATTAGAGTGTGTCGGTGGAAAGTCGGCTGCGCCCGCATCACGGTGAGAGGACGTGGGTGGTGTTTCGGCTGTCTCGTGCTGATGCCGGAAGTTCTTGTTGGGGTGGCGGATGCCCGTGTTGGGGCGGGGCTCGAGATGGAGGAGGCGCCGGATTCCGCTGCGCTTGCAAGAGGGCAGCGTCTGGTGTTTTTGTCTGCGGTTGGGTGTACGTGTGAATTTTTTGACGATTTTTGTTTTTTTGTTCTTGTACTGTTTTTCGCCCCTCCGTGGCTCCTCCGATTCGGTCACACGTGCCACTGCCTTGTCCCAACCCTACCCCCGCGTAAAAAAAAACGCGTCTCTCTCTGTGCACAGGTATTCACGGGGAACAGGCCTTCACTGTCCCTGCTGTTCCCGAAGCTGGACGCCTTCTCGTGCGGGCAGCTGCTGGCCATCTACGAGCACCGAACGGCCGTGCAAGGCTTCGTGTGGGGGCTGAACTCGTTCGACCAGTGGGGGGTGGAGCTCGGAAAGAAGCTAGCGACCAAGGTTGGTTGCGGTTGGCGTGTTTTCTTTTTTTTTCCATCTCTATTTCACAGATAAAAGAGTCCGGGATACATTGGCAATTAGTTCTTAGCGTTTGCGGGAGCACTACCTGCTCTGTTCACAGAGATTGGAGTCCGGGATGAGTTAGCAATGAATCCTTAGCGTTTGCTGGACGAACACTGCCTGCGTTTCTACGATTCCTTTTTTTTTTTTCACAGGGTACAGGCATTAGTCGGCCCTCCGCAGGATGGGTATGTGCCAGGCCGATTCACCCGCCCGCCCGCCCGCCCTGTTGCAGGAGCTCGTCCGTTTTTAAAGCATAAAACAATTGATTGTGCCAAGATATTTCACGCGCCCTCTCGAGGAACCACGACTACTGCATGTTTTTTTTCACCACGAAGGTGGTTTCTTCATGTTATTTGGTGTTGCGCTGCTGTAGCACCGACAGTATTCGCGGATTGCTTGTTCGAAAAATTGCGTCGTATTTTTCGAGCGTTCAAGCGAAAAAATTAATGAAAGTTTTAGTCGACTGCGTTTACCAGCTGCACAAGTTTTCTTCCACACGGTGAGGGACGACAGCAGCTGAATTTCATTCCTCCACCGTACGATTTCGCATCTTACCAAGCGGCGAGTTAAGTTGTACCAACAAGCTTCCCGAGACATACCTGTGGTCCGGGTGGGTGGTGCGCGAAAGTTTTCGGTCGTTTCCATCTACAATAGTCCGCAGGAAGACCGAGTAAGTCGACGAAGTCGAAGACCCGCCTGTCCTATCCTGTTCCTGACACGACGTCTCCCACCCCCCCCCTGCTGCATGTTTCGTGTACGAATGGAAAAAAAAAAAAAAAACGCGGCGGCGAAGGTGCGCACGGCCCTGTCCACCGCCCGTACTTCGGGAGGAGACGTGAGCGAGGGCTTCAACCCTTCCACTTCGACGCTGATGACATACTACCTTGCCAACGGCGCGAGCAAGAGCTAAGCTTGGCAGCGGAACACGCCGTCCCGTCCAGGAAGAGACGGCAGCAGGGGCGATGGTCAGGGTTGGGTGGGCCTCTTGTTGTAGGTTTTTGTCGACGAAGGGGGAGGCGGGTGGTTGTTGGAAGTGTTTTCGTCTTTCGTTATAGATCTTGTGGCGGTGGTGTTAAATCTTTGGGGGCGAGGGGCATGAGAAAGGTGTGCGTAGGGTTCTTACAGTATCGGTTGACAATCGCCGTGTGTGGGTCTGAGCGGGGAATGCTCTATACTGGTCATTTTTTTGTATGATTTTTTGTCTGAATCCGTGTCGTAGAATATTGTCGCAAGTATCGTTGTTCATGGGAGCGACAGTTTTCCCTGCCTGCATTTGTGTCGTAAAAAGCGTAGATACGAGCTTCGGATGTGGATCGAGCAAGTGAGGCTTGGTTGGTAGAGGGGATGAGAAAAAGAGAGGCCCGGGGGATGTTTGTAGTCTGAGCAAATCGCAAAAGTTGGGGTGCCTTCACGGAGAGTTGCATCCCGGTTGAACAATGTAAAAGGCACACAACCGGAATCTGTTTTATGCGTTTTTTGTTTGCCTTTCTTCCAAGACCGCACGAAGTTGATCGCGTCTCTTCACGTGAGAATAGGAGTGGAGGGTAGTCCAGCGGCTCACAGTATTAATCTCCTCGCCAGCCGTGTCCCGACACACAGCGGTAGGTCCACCGATATCGAGAGGCTCACAAACGAGTCGTCCGCGTCCTTTGCTCCACATCGCGAAACGTGTCAGAGCGAGCAGATACCACACATGCTGTAGAGAAGAGTGAATTGGCTGGAAAGAGCGCACCCTGAAAAATGGGCGGTGTACTATTTAACTACTTTATTTGAAGCACTTCATAGTACTCCGTTAATTCGGTACAATTCGGCATGTACATTTATTTTGTTGGCAGGACACAACACATCACCACGATAACCGTACAGTGATCCTGACCGTACAATGATCTTAGGCATATCCAAGCCTGAGCCTCACCCGACCTTCATCGTGGGTTTGCATCACGCGCTGTCGTATCCCAAAACTCAAGAGAAAAGCAGAAACGCCACAATCAAAACACTCAGAAACACTCAGAAACACATATACAGAAGCACGTAAGACCACTGTCGTAGTGGTTCAACTTCCGGCCCCACCATCCCCTCCAGATAGACCACCTCCGCAGGCCGAAACTCCGAACACCCCCGTCAGCAGCGCATGCAGCCCGGCCGTCCCCTTCGCCAACCCAGCGAAAGAGACACGACGGCCAGGCGCGGCTGCCGCCGTCGACGGTGCCTCCGGCGGTACGGAAGACCCGACCGCTCCACCCGCGCCAAGCACCACAAACACTGTCCGTTAAGAGCTCATACTTTTGGGACCAACCACAAAATTCAAAATTCACGCACCTGGGGTGACGCGCGCTCTCCGCGCGCCCTTGCTACAACTGCCCCTTGTAGTCTTATGCCTCCAACCGCAAAGAAAAACAGGCGTGGGCCATGTGCCCCCGAGGGCAGCTTGCTACAACTGCCCCTTGTAGTCTTACGCCTCCAACCGCAAAGAAAAACAGGCGTGGGCCATGTGCCCCCGAGGGCAGCGACAAACATCAAAGACCCGCCAAGTGCTCCAATCAATTCCCCTGTTAATTCTCCCGCCGCCTTTCCATCAATCGACGGCCCCTCAGAGCTGCCGTTGCTATCGCTGAAGCCGACGACCGAGTGACGTTCCGGAGGAGGTTCCAGGAAACAGCGCTTGGTCTGTCCCATTGTCTGCAAGTGGTTTTTTTGTTGGATACCAAACATTCGTTCAAAAGCCATTGAGCGGGAGTACACAATGGAGAGGAAAACCTTGGGATCGCTTCAAGATTAGCCCCCATGGTACCATCCAGCGCGACGCAGAAGATAACCACCGGCAAATGTCGCTCGGACTACTTTGACTCTTTCGTGCAGACGTGTTATTCTGTAGGCTTATTAGAGGGGAAAGGCCTAACAATGGGCTGGCATGTTGAAGATTTCTTCAGCTACTTCTTCTTTACAATCTAGTCAAAATTGTGTACTGCTGTTCCTGTGTTCCGGCATCGAACCAAAAGGAAACCGACCAGCACAACAAGCGCAGCTCTTCGCAACAAAGGATTCGAACGGTAGGCGAAACGACGGGTGCACCCGTCATGCATTTTACCGTGAGCAGAGACAAGGAGCACATCTCCACGTTTATCTGGTCGACCCTGTCTGTCATGCCCACCACCTCGGCCAGGTCTTCTCTCGTGACAACGCTCAGGTTCTGTTTGGTGGCGGGAGGCGGTGTTGGTAGGGCAGAGCGACAGAGTTCGTTTTTTTTCGAATTCTACTCCCTGAAAATCGTACGCGGCGGTGATTGCGCGGTGCAGCCAACAAAACGTGCCTGTCTGTTGGCCAAAACGACAAACACGCACGAAAAAGCAACAGGTATTGGATGGGCTTCCCACATTATCGTGTAAATGGATTCACTGTTGAAATAGTGAACTGTCACTCTTACAACGGTGAGGAGCACTCTTATGAAAGTGAGGAGCACTCTTATTACAGCGATAGACACTTTCATAAGAGTGACATCACTTGTATAAAAGTGATAGTCACTTTTACGAAAGTGATATTGACTGTTATAAACGTCACTCCCTCGCACAATGAAAGTGAAAGCCACACTCACTTTCACAGACAGTCAAATCACTATTACGAGAGTGATTTCACGGTATGAAAGTGAATGATACTTTTATGAAAGTGACTTACACGTCACTTTCATAAAAGTGCAGAACTAGTCCACGATACTATCACGTGCGTGACTTTCGTCACTTTTACGAAAGTGAAGACAAGTGACGAACGATTTCTTCACTTTCATTAAAGTGCATGATCAGTGCACGATACGTATCACGTGCGTCACTTTCGCCACTTTTACGAAAGTGAAGGCAAGTGACGAACGATTTCGTCACTTTCATTAAAGTGCATGATCAGTGCACGGTACATATCACGTGCGTGACTTTCGCCACCTTTGCGCAAGTGACGTCATATAATATGAACATAGGGTTGACTGCGTGTCCTTTGATGAAAGTTTTGCTTGTGTGCTGGCGCTAGGACTAATGCTTAGCTCGCTGCCGACAATCTCCGAAGGCGCCCCTTGAAGTTTGTTTTGCTCTTGTGTTATTAGGTTGTGGTCTCTGCGAGGGTGAAAGGGTCCCCGCAATACCAGATGGTCATACCACTACCCCAACTGCGTATCCCAAAAATCCATCCCAGACCAGTATCTTTACCCAAGTACCACAAACAGCCCCCTGCTTGGATAAAGGTACTGTCGTCCAAGCGAATTACATGCATGTACCGTTCCAGGAACGGCAACTTGAAACATACAAAAATATACCATCAAAGATATACCTCATACGCCAAGAGCCTACTTACCTTACCCCCTTGAGAAAACTCAATCCGTCAAAAAACCAGAAATATTCTTGGAAAAATATCCAACAAGATTCAACATTACATCAGCGTTGCGTCTTGCAGAACAACGGACAATACCGGAAACGTTTAATCAAATCAGAATCAACAACCTCAAACAACACCGTACCTTTCAACCTCTTGGTCAGCACATAATCATTATTCGGAAAGCACATAGGCCCCAACCATTTACTAATCAGCACATACCAAATCCATACAACATCCAGAAATACCCAGGACTGCAAAGACAGAATAACGTCCAAAAACCCAACACAAAAATGACGCTTGCAACTGTCGTTGCATTTACATCAATAATTCTCATTCCATCGCCCCCCCCGTTCCGTGGGATTTAAATAAAGCCATTAGAAAACGGGGACAGACAATATATAGTGCAGACATCTGCCGATATCCTAAGGCAATTCAACACCGTGTCAACGCAAAACATGAAAAGATCTTACTGCTACAAGGGGCATGGCATATGATACTTGTATGCAGTACGCCAACACAAAAGAAACCGCCCTTCCTTGTGAACATAATGATAACACACAATCTACGACAGTCAGTCAATGATCTCATGCACCTCCATTCTGAGCCTCACTAACTTTAACCGCAGATCGCATGACACACGGTGTTCTTTCAATGTCCCAAAATACAAGTAACACAAACCTCCAAATATGAGTGCATGAAACACGATAGTATCACATCGCTACGATAGCCGACTAACGACTTCAGGCATCTCCATTCTGAACGTCGCTCGATCATCATCGCGCACGATACGACATGTTACGTTCCCCCGAAAAAAAACAATCCACACATGACAAGAAAGTTAGCCGAAATCAAGCGGAAAAAATACAATCCCCACAACCGACCAGCCGAAATTATCATTCGGAAGCACCTTGGGCACCAACCACGAGTACAGTCACTACGACACGTCGAATCCTTCCTCCAAATAAATTATCCGACATCCACTAAAAACGATAGGGAGTGCACTCGCCTACACGACATCCGTGTTTCTACCGTTGGAGAAGTTTCTGCCGTTGGTGAAGAATCAAATAGAAAAACAAAATATGCAAACATCCCGCCCCCCTGCTGTTGCACATAAAAAAAGCAAGCTCGCAACGATTTGGGCACAATCGAGATGTAGCACCTGTTCCCCACACACCCGCACAAGACATCACTACGAAAGCTCAACCACTGAGACCTTAGATCTCCTAAGCCTCACGTGATATTCTCATTGCGAATGCGCATCACACGCTGCTACCAAAAACCTCCAAGTCAACACGAATGTTGTTGTTGTTGTTGTTGTTGTTGTTGTTGTTGTTGTTGTTGTTTTCTTCACATAAAAATAAACATCCCGGTCTCTCTATCCAGGACCTCTTTCTGTCTGAATCTCTCCGTACTAATCCAACACTTGACTCGGTCAATTTCCGTGGTCACAGGTTAACATACCTAGAAAGGTATACCAAAATGAAATGGACCCCAAGGGTCAGCAGAGCGGTAAAATACAAGAGCAAAATACAATCAGAAGCAAAAATATTTTTTAGCCCTCCGCTCCCCTCTACACGCTATGTATGTGAGGTAAAATCAAAGAAAATCAAAGTGTCAAAAAAATAAAACAAAACAAAATAAACTAAAATAAAAGACGAGAACACCAACTCGCACAGGGGCCAGAATATCCACGAAGACAGTCTAAACGCGACGGCAAGGGGGGGGGGGGGGAGAGAAAATAACAAAAAAAAATACTAGTCAGCTTCAATCCGCAACATGCCGTGCGACACGGTCGGCCTCTTCTCGTTTGCTCTCTTCCCTCGCTGGTTCCTTCCGCCCCCCTCCCGCGCCGTTGATTGGCGCCGAGTCTAGAGGAGGCCAGCCTACAACACGAACGAACATCCCGCTACAATTCTCCAAGTCACAACGAATATGCCGACGATATCTCTAGGCTTAGGCTAAAGGGCAAACAAAAAAAAAAAACTCTTGCCCGTCTTCCGCTTCTTGGCGCCACCCGCCTTACACTTGCCGGGGAGGGCGGGGGGCTTCTGGGCCTTGGGGATGGGATTCTTCAGTAGAGCGTGCTCGATCGTGGAATCCTTCGTGCA